CACACAGTCCTTTCAGTACAATGTTGATTCAGTTCAATAACTGATTGCTGGTTCTACAACTGAAATGTGAATTTTGAAACTTTTCTGCTTTAAAAATGTATTTTTTCCCAATAAGGACTACAACTATAAACTCATTTTATTTGCCTTTTAATCAGAAACAATGACTGACCAGATTGCTTATAGAATACAGATATATACAGATGCTAGAATTGTAATTTATAACAGAATTATATATATATATATATATATATATATATATATATATATATGCGGCGAGCCTCCGTATGATCTGATCGAGTGCGACCCCAACCGCTACGCTCACTGGACCAGCGTCCCGTACCTGTGCGCCAAAGCCAGAGAGTCCTACGGCTTCAACAACGTCGGTGAGTGGCGTGACAGGAGGCGTGCGGATGCTGGAGTGATGTGTGGTGTAGATGATCTCTGCTCTCTGACTGGTTTCAGTGGGCTACCCGAAGGAGGAGCGCTTCGCGGGTCGCCCGACTAACCGGGTCAGCGGCGTCTATGAGCTGCTGAAGGACAGATGCTCCATGGGTTTCCATGCAGGATGGGAGCAGCCGCATTACTTCCACAAACCCGGAGACGACACCGGATACAAGTGAGACACACCGATCTACACTGAACAGATGTCAAAAATCATTCACTGGTGATGAGAAATGAGATGAACACTAGCACTCAAACACTGGGGGTCGGTGGGGTTTAAAATGTTTCTGAAAGAAGTCTCTTCTGCTCAGCAAGGCTGCATTTATTTGATCAGAAATACAGTAAAAATGGTGAAATATTATTATAATGTAAACTAGCTGTTTTCTATGTGAATATCTGTTAAACTGTAATGTATTTCTGTGATGCGCAGCTGTATTTTCAGCATCGTTACTCCAGTCTTCAGTGTCACATGATCTTCAGAAATCATTCTAATATACTGATTTGCTGCTCAACAAACATTTCTCATTATTATCAATGTTGAAAACAGTCGTGCTGCACAATATTTTTGTGGTAACTGATACAGTTTAGTTTTCAGGATTCACAGATGAATAGAAAGTTCAAAAGAACAGCATTTATTTGAAATAGAAATCATTTGTAACATTATAAATGTCTTTACTGTCACTTTTCGTCAATTTAATGTGTCCTTGAATAAAACTAATCATTTTTTTAAATCTTACTGACCCCAAGCGTTTGACCAGTAGTGTAGATGATGCTATGATGAAGTGAAATCCGCTGCTGTGGTGTAGTGATTGTGAGTGCGTGTCTCTGTCGGGTCCTGTATGCAGACCCAGCTTCAGAAGGACTAACTGGTTCGGGCCGGTCGGCCGCGAGTGTAAACTGGTGATGGAGGGTGTGGGTGTGATTGACCTTTCACCTTTTGGGAAGTTCAGCGTTAAAGGAGAAGATTCGCACCGGCTGCTCGACCGGCTGTTCGCCAACACACTGCCAAAGGTGAGAGACACACAGAGAGAGAGAGAGAGAGAGAGAGAGAGAGAGAGAGAGAGAGAGACACACACACAGAGAGAGAGAGAGAGAGAGAGAGCAGGAAAATCACAGTAATATGTGTTACAGCAGTAAGTTTTATGTCTGAAATTTTTGATTGACAGTGTGTGTGTGTGTGTGTGTGAGTGTGAGTGAGAGTGAGAGAGAGTGTGTGTGTGTGTGCTGATTGAATCATGATGATCTGATGTATCTCAGGTGGGTCAAACCAACATCAGTCACATGTTGACCCCGCGGGGGCGTGTCTACGCTGAGGTCACAGTTACCCAGACTGCACCTGGAGAGTTTCTGCTCATCACAGGCTCCGGGTCGGAGCTGCACGATCTGCGGTGCGTCTCTCACACAGACACACACACATTATACACACACACTTACATCAGTAACTTTTACTATAATCTGAGGGCTGAAGGAGCCAGTGTGTGTAACGTGAGAATATCTGGAGTGTGTGTGTGTGTGCGTGAGTGTGTGTGCGTGAGTGTGTGTGTCAATATCACAGCTGTCTGGTTTCTGCCCCTTGTCTCATCCAATCAGGAAACAGCACACTCACACACACACACACACACACACACACACACACACACACAGCCCCCTTCTGGGTGAAAGTGACTTGACCTGCAGCACTAAGAGAGACTAACAGATGCAGCTGTTAATAAGTCAGACTTCACTAGTACTGGTGCTGATAGTGATGAGCGGAAACCTGTTAAAGTTCAGCATTTGTGAGCTCCAGACATGAATGATTTATCAGATCATGTGTGAAAACATCTAGAATCCAGCAACAACACCTTAGCAACTGCCTAAGAACACTCAGAACACCCTAGCAACCGCACTGCATCACCTCTCCGTAGCACTGTAATGAGTTTTGTACAAACATCACTCTCATTCTCCTCATTAAACTGCACGACTCCAGTTGTTGTCTGTGTTTTGGTTGAATGGCGTGGCGTGTGCCGCTGTGGTTTTTGTGTGTCTCAGGTGGATCGAGCACGAGGCGGCTGACGGCGGGTATCATGTGAGCGTGTCTAACGTGACGGATGAGATCGGTGTTCTGGGCATCGCCGGGCCGAAATCACGGATGGTTCTTCAGAAGCTGACAGATGAAGACATGAGTGACACGGCCTTCAGATTCCTGCACTGCAGATCCATACAGCTCGCCGGAGTTCCCCTCCGCGCCATACGCATATCCTACACAGGTGATGCTGACCGCTGCATGCTAATATCATGCTAATCGACAGGACGTATGCAGATGAGCAGGTGTCCTCATACTGCGTGTGTGTGTAGGTGAGTTGGGTTGGGAGCTCTACATGGACATGCAGAACATGTCAGCGGTGTATCAGGCTCTGATGGAAGCAGGACAAGACGAGAACATCGATAACTTCGGCACATACGCCATGAGCTCACTGAGACTGGAGAAAGGCTTCAGAGCCTGGGGAGCTGAGGTGCTACACACACACACACTCACGCACGCACGCACACACACACACACTCACACACACACACACACCGCACGCATACACACACTCACGCACGCACGCACGCACGCACGCACACACTCTCACACACACACACTCACGCACGCACGCACACACTCTCTCACACACACGCACACACACAACACACACACACACACACACACACACAACATTCATCTCATCTCAAGTGTTTTTTTTTCTTTTGTTTCAGATGAACTGCGACACAAATCCTTTAGAAGCTGGTTTGGACTATTTCATCAAACTCAATAAGGTAAGAAAAAACACACCAGGGTTACTGTTAACTAAAACTAAACCTGAGCTGTAAGTGAGCTCTTGATCGCCCGCTCTCACGCTCACACTGGTGTCTCCAGCCCGCAGAGTTCATCGGTAAACAGGCTCTGCTGGAGATCAAGGCTCAGGGTTTGAGCCGTCGGCTGGCGTTCCTCACGCTGGACACAGACGACATCGACCCGGAGGGAAACGAGACCGTCTGGCACAACGGAGAGGTGAAGCACACAGAGCACTATTAACACAACCCAACGGGATGTGTGTGAAATTTCTTACCAAATCAACTTGACAGGAAAGAGTTTCACTGCTTGTGTGTGTGTGTGTGTGTGTGTGATGTTACAAAAAACTGATGCGCTGCTACGGCAGAAACAAGAGTTTATCAGCTCATCCACAGTGACTTCTGTTTCTGGCATGGAATAAAAATAAAAGAGAATTGTGACTTTTTTCTCTTAACTCTGAATTCAGAATTGCGAGATATACACTTGCAATTGCGAGAAAAATGTAGAGCTGTGAGATAAAAAGTTGCAACTATGTTTTTATTCCTTTACAGAAACAAGCTTGTCACAGATCTCACAATCCTGACTTGTTTTCTCAGTATTGTGAGTTTATATCATTTCTGACTTTGTGTCCCACAATTTCGACATTTTTTTCATTTATATCTTGCAATTATGACTCAAACAAGCTTGACTGGAAAGAAGCTTGTCTCATGCTGATGTGCGTGTTTCTTCTGTTGTCTGGAGGTGGTGGGGAACACGACGTCAGGATCATACAGCTACAGCGCGCAGCAGAGCCTGGCCTTCTCTTACCTGCCCCTGCACCTGACTCATGCGGGTCAGAAGGTAGAAGTGGAGCTTCTGGGTCAGAAATACCCGGCCACAGTCACTCAGGAGCCGCTGGTCCTCACAGAACCCAGCAGAACCCGCCTGCAGAAGAAGCAGCGGAGCGACTGATGGGAACCGAGACGATCCTGAGCTCATTCTGAATATGACACTCAATGATGCCACAACAGAACAGCAAATATCAGCCGGAAAGTGTTGCTTTAGCAAAATAAATCAGGTGTGAGCTACATGAAAATCATAAAAGCACTGCAAATGTGCCAGAATATGGAAACGTAAAAGTTGTAGTTTTTAAAATCTGTGTTAATCATTTTAATTGAAAACTGTGAAGGTTTGCTGCTAAACATTGTGTCTTAATGTCATATTCTGTGAATTATTTCCAGTCATGTTGAACTCTGGCAGTATTTTACACGTGTGTGTTCTTGCAGGATCAGACTAACTGATGAGTCTTACAGAGAAGAACTCTAATAAAGCACAATCTCAGTATTACAGATTCTAGGATAATTCTAATATTTGAACGACCTCTGATTATTCCCGTCTCTCTGTACTCTGTTTTCATTGTGAATAAACACACTTTCCCTCTCGAGTCGGTCTCTCGACACGGTGTCATCGAAGATGGGGACAGTGTTTTTAAAAGTCCAAACTCAGTAAACACATTAATAATAAATCATACTTAGACAAGCAGATCGAACGCAACACAGTCAAACTGACCCCAAAGCAACTTTGACTTTTCTAAAAAAATATGATAATTATATCTTTAAACCTTGAATCTTTCTGACTTTTGCTAAATGTATTCACCAAATTCATAAACATGCACATCTTGTGTTACAAAGTTTTTAAAATGCCTGTGCACATTTTGACCCCATCACTTTTTTTGGTAAAAAAAAAGATTAAACATTATATGCAGAAAAATTTTCTGTTGATTGCCTCTCATGACTAAATATCTAATGAGTAAATATCATTTATGCCTTGCTATAAATGTACATTTTACTATTACTGTACTGCATATGAAGGAGTTTTTCAGAGTTCTATATACTTTTATATACTATTTCATACAATAATGTGTTTACAAACACCGTACACACATTTTTACAAGCATCTATCAAAAATGATTGTTGTTGATTTTCCATATTATATGGGGGCTTTCCATAGACATAATTTTGATACTGTATACATTTAAAAAAAATAAAAAAAGCTTTTTTCCTCATGGGGGGGGGGGGGCAACTAAATGTCCCCCCAATGTCAAACATTTCAG